ATTTAAAATGTAGAGACCTTAGTGAATGATAATCTATTGAAAGGGACTTTTGGTACATTTTCTTTCATCAAATTATATTTTTTGAATTGTATATAATATCGAACACAGAAACATAAAGCACCCAGGGTATGCTAGTTGAATATATATTCCAATTGAATATATATATAAATGGTAAAATTTTTGCAAAAACCAGTTTCCATTTCAGAGCCATCATCCGATATTTTTCCTTAATGACATTTTATAACTTAAAGTTCAATTCTATAGGCAGAGACGGTAAAAATTCGTAACTTCCATAAAATTAAAGAAATTCGAGACACATGTATACAGTCAGGGGGACTAAAATATAAAAATGTTTTTTATTAGAATATATAAAACATAATCAAATAAAAAAATTTACAAATATCCGTCTACGCAAATATGTCATACAAATCACTGACAAATACATACATACGCGCATTTACCACATCTTTAAAAAATGTTTAAAAATGGAAACATAAATGTATCTCCAACGAATGTCTGTATGTATGTATTTGTAATTTCAATTACATGTGTCAAGTATGATTAAAGAAGGACAAAAATGGAAATCTATTCTAAAATGAAAAATTATACAAAACAGCCTTTTGTTGTTCAACATACACTAAAACACACGCAAGTATTTACTCATTTTCATACAGTTTTTCCACAACAAACATGACTCTTTAGTTGATTGTTTCAAAGACAGATTTAGACATTCTAATAAATGATTATGATAGGAAGTAAGGCAAATAGTTAGAATATAACTAACACAATAAAAACTGTCAGGAATATAATAAAAACCATGGGGAATTTCCATAACAAATAACCATTAAGGATCAAGTTACTTTGACATTATGGAAATATGCGAAAGAAAAGACCAATTCATGTGTTTATACATTAATGTGGAATAAATTGAAATAAGCAAAAAACGGAAGTATTAAGAAATCGCCCACGTTTATGAGAATAGTTAGAAAATTATATGATTTTGGTATAGTACGAGATGGGTATGAGAAGTATATTTTAAATTTAACAAGAGTGAAAGTTTTGGATAGTTATACTTTGCATGGGATAGAAAGTGATTCTACGATAAAAGATATAATAAAGTTAAGAATCTATCTACAGTTAACACATGTCACAACATAAAACTCAAACGCTGGAAAAAACTCTAAAAGGATATTTTTTAACATTAATAGATATTAACGTGAAGGAATAAGTATTGTATAGATTTTTTGTAATTTTAAATTTTAAGAATATTCTAGGGAAATATTATACTTTGTGGCAAGCAGAAAACACACTGACAATTATCTCCTTTAGAAAATACTAGCATACCCTGGGTGCTTCGCTACCCTAACTTAAATTAAATACATACACAATTTTGTTTACTTTTATAGAAAATTAAAATTTATTAAACATTTTTTAATGTTTAAATTCGCATTCTGTAAGAAGCTTGTATTTTTACATTATAGAAAATTTTGAAAGTACTATTTGAAAAAAAGTACTAAAAAATACCTCTCATTTCTCATTTAATAAGGACCGTGTGTTCCGGTTAACCATTATAAAGAATCTAAAAGGTACCATTTGAAGAATAGAAAAGTACTAAATAGTATCCACTTACAGAATAATATTCAGTAAAGGCCATGTATATTAATATTAATGTTCCTTGGTGGAATATTTTAGAAAATTATGAGAAAAAAGTACTAAAAAGTTCTCTCTTAAAGTATCTTATTCAATGAGGACCGTGTATGTGTAATATTCATGTGTTTTGAATTCATATTAAAGAACATACAAAGAGTATCATTTGAAGAAGAAAAAGTACCAAAAGTGGAATAAATTTTTACCTAAGTGGAAAGTACTAATAAAAAGAGTACAATTTTGCCCTTTTTCGCTTAGAAATATACTTTTTCGAGAATTAAGTTTACAAAATGTTCCGTATTTAAATCTATATATCACAGATAAAACTCAAAAGATTCAAATCTGCATTCATTTGTTCCAGAAAAATTGTGCTTTCAAAAAGTACCAAACAATACTCGAATATGGTCCTATATAGGCCTTAGTACTCGAATGCCAAAATAATATACCAATAGCTTATTTTGTGTGAGTTAATAAACTACTTTTTCAAATTTTATAAAAATTGGCTCAATGAGTTTGAATCCCGTTTTTCCCTTTCTTGGTACTTTTTTACCCAGTGAAATAGCAAAAATGTTATTACAATAAATATTACAGAGTTAGTCCGTAATATAATAGGAATAATTCAATAAACCGAAAAAGTTTTCTTAATGTGCTTAAAAAAGTACCAAAAATACAGTTTTCTCCCTTCTACACCCAAAAATTACTGAATTTTAAAAAAGTACGAAACAGGTGTCTCATAATTTTGTATCTGAAATATTTATAAAAATTTTATTATGTTAATTAGTTCAAAATTTATAAAGGGCCAAAAAGGGTACCAAAATCACATTTGTTATACATTTTTACCCCTTAAAAGTACGAATTTCAAAAAAGTAAAATTTTAAGAGTAGATACAGGTGCATTTAAAATTGTTCTTGTATCACTAATATTGTGTAACATAATTAAGAAAACCTGTTTTACCCGTTTTTTCCCCTTTTTACCCGTAAATGTATAAATTTCCAAAAATCCCTCCTTAGTGGAGCTACATAACCAAAAGCACATCTACTGTCAAAATTTCATGATTCTAGGTTCAGCCGTTTGGGATGTGCAATGATGAATCAGTCAGTCAGTAACGCTGCTATTTTATATATGTATATAGATTAATACTTTTTACAAAAATAATAAATTCTGCTTCACTATTCAACACACAATTTTTTTTGGCAAATATTCATTATTGTGAGTATATGTATGTCTGATTATTTATTTAAAAGTGTCGCTGTCTGTGAGTTTTGTATGTGGTGAAAATAAAAAGAAAGCAATTCCTATATATAGGACTTATATAGAAATTCTATGCGTATTTCCTTTTCAATTTTTCTCTTCTCTTATATATCTCATATATTTTAAAAAAGAAAATACTTTTTTGGCATGACTTAAGGCAACATAAGAACAGTCAGGAAAAAAAGAAAATCCATGAAAAAAATACTGTTTACATTATTTTAAAGCAGCTTAGTTGGAGCAATAATGAATAAAAATGAAATGAACCGAAGGAGACAAAAATGTGTTAGAAATATTTTATTAAATACTGAAATGGAAAAAAAAAAAAAAATGTAAAAGCTCTGTGGGATTTTAATAACTTTAAGTGCTTTTATAGAAATTCTGTGATATTTAAGATATTAATTTAAATAATAATTTATCAGATGGATTTATAATGATAAGAAAATCTTTTTTTTTGTAAAATCTAAGTAGAATATGAATAATGTTTGATTAAAAAATATCAATAAATTCCCAGCAAAAACTTACAAAAAAAAAAAAAACAATGATTTAAAAAGCTAATATAACCACTTTTAGGCAAAAGCCTAAAAATAGGTATTTTTGTATCAGATTATACATAAATAAGTCATTTGACTACTTAATAGTAATGCAAATGTTATAAAATAGTCATTGACGAGTAAGCTGTTGTGTAAGTATAAGTCATTTTTGCTGGCTATTTACACCACTTATATCCGAACGAAAATGGAATACAACTCTCATGTATGGGACGGAGCTTCGAAGTCTATTTTGGAGCTACTCGACCGCGTACAGGAGAGGGCGAAGGTACTTATCGGTGACAGCTACGTCGCTACGTGGGGTGTATTGCACTGTTCTATCGATACTACAATGGAACAAGTTCCTTAATTTCAAAGGATACCCGTATATTCTTGTGTAGCACACGTCTTTCTTCAAGAACACACCCATTTGTGGTAGATTGGCCAGTGGACCGCACAACACACTACAGGGTAAATTCATTCTTCAGCCGCACTGTTCGTATGTGGAATAAACTTCCTGCAGAGGTATTCCCTGCCACTTTCGATATCCTCCTTCCCACAACCCATTTTCCTAGTTCCAACACAAGCTTCGCATAAGTAGGTGTCATCCCCTGAGTGTTGGTCCAATTATTAAAAAAAAAACATAGTGGGAAGGTTATTATGCGTTTGTGCTGATGTTTGTAACACACAAAAATATTGGTCCTATATCCACCTTAAAGTCTACCAATCGGCTCGGAATCACTTTCTGAGTCGATTTAGCTATGTCCGTCCGTCTGGGTGTCATTTTCAAGATATTAACCCCCTATCACACTATTTTAGAAATTTTCTTTTTTTGTCAACAAATTGTTAAAATATTTCTGAATTAAAGTAAAAATCAAAATAAATGCTTTATTATTAAAAAAATAATCTACATTTTTTAACATACTCGCTGGATTAGGGTATCATATGGTCGGCTATGCCCGTAAAATCCATAAAATATTTAAATTTTCTCTGGAATATTATATTTCCTCTTTTATTTAAGCAAATTACCCAGTAAAAAGAATAACCTTTATCACCAATTCAAAAGTAGCACTAATTGAATTTTTTACCTTCTGAGGAAGTGATGTTTAAAGACTTTCGAAAAAGTGAAAATAATTCTATTTTTTTCAATGTTAAAAATATATTTTTGGCTCTAACATTTTTATGAGATAAACATTTTATATTTGGGCTTTTGTATTAAATGTTTCTATTACCCTAATTAATGTTAATATTATTTAAGTCAAATTAGTTATATTCTATAATACCGCAATTTCTCTACCGAATAACCAAAGAAGAGCATTAAAATTACTTCTTGAGAATGACTTCAGAAGTAGTGAATTTGGAATCAAATAAAAAGGACATCCCTCCTATGACAAGCCAGTGTTAAAATCATCACTTCTTCAGGTCTTTTCCAGTATTTCTATGGAATAAATTCTACCTCTCTTTCGCTTCTTTGGAAGTTCTTATTTTGTTGGTTAGTACTTACGTGTCATATCTTCCATAAATATAAATATTTAAGTAAATTAAACACAAAATTTTTTTTAGATATAATTTTTACTTGAAACCATATTCCAACTACAATTCTAACCTGAAATATGCATTTGCTATATAATTTGTTTGGTCATCTAATGGGAACAACAAATATACCAATCACAAACTACGGGAGTTTGTCACAATTAACAAGCAATTATTTTATAATCGAAATGTTCATTGATTCCTGCAAAGAAAAAAATATATACATATATAAGGAAGTTAAATTTATTCAGTTTCTGTAGAGATTAATGCAAATTTTCCTTCCATTTATGGTTTCCCGAAACCGAGGTCAAGTATAATAGAAATGTAACCCAAACCATCGGCGTTCATGGATGTCCCGGAGTTTAAGCTAAAAGATAAAAAATAAACAAAAACGCAAAACTAGAAAATTAATTTTAAAAACAAATAAGAAAGTAAAAATTGAAAATTTGTTATAAAAGAATTAAATCCATAACGTGGGTAAACGAAACCACATCAGATACTTGAAAAGCATACTTATGTACATCATACTACTTCGTCAAACTCATTATCTCGAACATTGTAGAAAGATCCTCATAAAATTTTGTACATTGATTTTAGTTTGTAGAGCATTGGTTTATGTAGAATTTCATCGCTAATATTATAATTTTTAATACAGTAATTAGAGTTAAAATCGTTATAAAAAAATATTCCTATAGTGAATATTTGTGTTAAAGTTCAACCCTTCAGTTCATTCGTTCGAACCGTAAAGTGCTTTCATCAGACAGAAAGACAGACAGACATGGTTCGATCGTCTTAATATTTAATAAGAATCCACAATAAATATACTTTGAACAATATTTCGATGTGTTATCAATGTTTTACGATCACCATCGGTTTTTGATAGATGGACAGATAGACAGACAGAAAGACAGACGGACAGACAGACAGAAAGAAAGACAGACAGACAGACAGACAGACAGACAGACAGACAGACAGACAGACAGACAGACAGACATACAGACATACATACAGACATACAGACATACAGACATACAGACAGACAGACAGACAGACAGACAGACAGACAGACAGTTAGACATGGTTAGATCGTCTTAGAATTTAATAAGTACCCAGAATACATATACTTTTGCGGGTCTTTGAACAATATTTCGATGTGTTATCAATTTTTTACTTTTACCATAATTTTTTTGATATAAAAACAAACTTTTGTTGTGTGACTGCTGGCTTGTAGTAGTATCTGAATGTCTGTCGGTTCGTTTATCCCAGAAATAATAAATAGTTAACTGTCTTTGTAAAATATTCATTGAAAAAGTACACAATGAAAGCAACTCACCTGATGGTAATGAAATTCCACATCGAAAATTCAGATTAATTTAATTCAACCACAGACATTTAACCAAAAAACTACTCACTCATACACAGCACCTAGCAACACAGTTGAGCAAATATAACAGTTTATTAAAACCACTATGAAAGGTAGAACTATTTTCCTTTAAATGTTAAACTGTTTAAGTACGAGTGATTGTTTGAGATTAATTGTGTGATTTTGTCTATAGGACAATAATCAGAGGCGTTTATCACTGGGTTGTTGCAGTTGCTGTTTTTTTTTTTTATTTTGGCGGATGCTGTTGTTGCTTGCAGTTGGTTTATTGCTTGGTTTATTCCTCTGTTATTGGCTTTGCAAAATGAATAGAGTGATCATTAAAATAGTGTGTATTTGTTGTATATTTCGCTTCTGCTTAGTTTTGTTTTAATTTCCAGCCGATTGTTTGACTTGATAAATTAAATTTGTTGATATGTTTTTGATTACTTCAGTTTGTGTTTAGTTGGAGTAGCTGTCAGTTTTTTTCAAATGGCTATTTTCATGGGCTTTTTTTCTATTTTTTGAAACTATTATACTTAAAAGTATTTAAATAGTTATTATTCTTGTCTTGGCGTTGGCCAGGTTGCTAAATTTATCGCTGTCTCCTTATCTGCCTTAAATTGTATTAAAATATTGAAATTTTGCCAAAATATTAATGATTGTGTATATAATGAAGTAAAGAAATCAATAAGCTGCCAAAGATAGAAATACATATATATATTAGTAGTTATATACCCTGGAGTTGAAAATACAAGGTATGATTGTAGTTAGTAGGTAAAACTTTATTTTTGCTTCAGGGAATATTTGTTTGGCTTTTGTTGCGTCTTGAGAGCTGCAGAAAATCTTATAATGTAGATCGTTCTTTAGATTTTTTAGTTGCCTGCAGTTATATTATATCTTTTTGGAAGATTTTTTTCTTGATTTTATTTTTTTTCTCCACTAACAAGCCTTTAATAGAGAACAACATTCTGTTTGAAGGATGGCAGAAATAAATAAAACTCTACGTGTTTGGTTTATAAATTTAATTTAACTTTTAGTGGCTCTAAATATCCATTACTTGAGTTGGTCTTTTTAGTATTTAGTTCCTCTTTCTTTGATATTATTTTTTTTTGTTTACACAAAAAGTACTTTTATTTTAAATCTCCATTTATTTCTTCTTTTTATGGTCTTTTACTATATTTTTTAGACTTTGTAAATTTTGCTGGCGTATGCTTGTACTCATGAAGACTATTAAATCTTAGTTATGAAAATTTATGTAATATTTTTCGCTTTTTCTTTCTTTTAGAATTTATTTTTACTTTTTAGGAAATTTTGTGGCTGTAAATAGAAAAAATTAAAGAATTATGTATGTAAATATATTTAAATAGAAATATTTTAAAATGGTTTTTAAAATTTATCGTTATAGGTAAAAATTCATATAATAAATAATTCTCCAATAAATAGTTTTTGTGAAATATTTTTATTAATCGAATATCTATTTGGATTTTAATTGAGTGTGTGTTTTTGTAAAAAATCCAAATCGGTATATACAAATAAATATGAATGACCTCAATTATTATGCCCTTCCCCTTCGTTAAACGGGTGTAAGTAGAAAAGCTTTACATGAACACCAGCCATTACGGTGGTTTATAACCTCTGGGTGAGCTGTTAGACAACTCACCACCGTCCCTTTCTGTGCCTTACTCACACTCATACTCGAGGTATTTAATCTCTGACCATTGCTGCCCCGTTGCGTAACTTTCGAGATGCAAAAACATCACTTCTGTTTACAATTACGCAGATGTTATGGAATGTGTTGATTCTGCAACAACACCTAGAGACGTAATCGGCAGACCGAAATATTAGTTCATCAAATAAGCCAAAGACAAGTTCCTACTGTGTGGTATGTCAAATTTGAACAGAGTAAATCTGGAACATAGCTTGACAAGCAAGAAAATTTAATCGTATCTCTTCAATTAGATACAACCATCAACGTTCAACCAAGCGCACTTCTCATTTATCATTCGGCAATAGCATCAAACTTATCTCAAAATATAGATTTAACAGTGTGTCAGTCCTCTTACCAACATTCTCTTCCCGCGAGTTTGGGTTTAAATCACTGGATCTAAGTGCACCACGAAGGAACCTCTCCAATAACCGGGACAAACTCCGATATTATACCCAATGGGTTACCGGCCTCCGGTAGGTTAGTGGTTAGTGTTCTAGTCTGGTAGACCGGAGGTGGTGGGTTCGATTCCCACTGAGGCACTGGTTAAGGAGCGCACAACAGGCCCGATAGAGGCCTAGGTGTTTCTTCGGATTTGATGTTATTCATCCTCCGCAAAACGAACGAAAAAAAAGAACGAAAGAAACGAACGAAAGAACGAAAAGAAACGAAAGAAACGAAAAAAGAAAGAACGAACGAACGAACGAAACGAACAACGAAAACGAAGAAAACGAACGAAACGAAACGAAACGAAAGAAAAAACGAACGAACGAACGAACGAACAACGAACGAAAGAACGAAAGAACAAGAACAACGAACGAACGAACGAACGAACGAACTAACGAACGAACGAACAATAACGAACGAAACGAAAGAACGAACGAACGAACGAAAACGAACGAACGAACGAAGAAAGAAAAGAACGAACGAACGAACGAACGAACGAAAACGAACGAACGAACGAACGAACGAACGAACGACGAACGAACGAACGAACGAACGAACGAACGAACGAACGAAGAAGAACGAACGAACGAAACGAACGAACGAACGAAAACGAACGAACGAACGAACAACGAACGAACGAACGAACGAACGAACGAACGAACGAACGAAACGAACGAACAAGAACGAACGAACGAACGAACGAACGAACGAACGAACGAACGAACGAAAACGAACGAAATAACGAACGAAAACGAACAAACGAACGAACTAACGAACGAACGAACGAACGACGAACGAACGAACGAACTAACGAACGAACAACGAACTAAAGAACGAACGAACTAAACGAAGAACTAAAGAACGAACGAACGAACGAAACGAACGAAAAAACTAACGAACGAACTAACGAACGAACTAACGAACGAACGAACGAACTAACGAACGAACGAACGAACGAACGAACGAACGAAACTAACGACAAAACTAACTAATAACGAACGAACGAAAGAACTAACGAACTAACTAACTAACTAAACTAACTAACTAAACTAACTAAACTAACTAACTAACTAACTAACTAACTAACTAACGAACTAACTAACTAACTAACTAAACTAAAACTAACTAACTAACTAACTAACTAAACTAACTAACTAAAACTAACTAACTAACTAACTAACTAACTAACTAACTAACTAACTAATACCGGTTCCCTTGATACATGATTATATGGCTCTCTGGTTCTAACCAAGATCAAATCTTTCCAAGAAAAGGCCGAGGATACATTTGTATATATCCCTTCAGACTAGAGGTACTGGTAGCACCTTTTTCCCCAGATTGCAATCACACCAAATTTGTTATATACCGTTTTTAATTTCCAATTTTCCGACCTCATTAGGTATATATACTTTATTCTTATAGATAGCGGATTAGCTATGTCTGTCTGTCAGTCCATTTGCCTAGTTGTAGGTCTAGTTGTATGGAAGCTAGGTTAAATAATGGACCGATTTCAACCATTTTCAATAGGCATCGTCCTTGTAGCGAAAAACTCGTGTGGTTCAAATATTATCAAAATATCTTGTAGTTGCGCAAAAGGTTTACATGGACAGCCAACCAGCCGGACGGACAGACGGACGGACGGACATGTCTTAATCGACTCAGAAAGTCGATCGGTACACTTTAAGGTGGGTATAGAACCAATATTTTTGTGCGTTACAAACATTAGCACAAACGCATTATATACTCCCCACTATAGTGGTGTAGGGTGTAAAAAGTTCAGTTAATTTTTGAAGTAGATTCGGTTAATTTTTGAAGTAGATTTGTGTTCATATAACAGATAATAATCAATTTTATCAATAAATGTATATATAGGTCATTACCTTGTAAATGATGTTCTTCTTAGTAAAATAGAATAATATCAAATTAGTAACAACTATAACGTAAATATATTCGGCATACAATGAAAATGGTGAATCAATACAGAGCCAGAAAATATTTAAAGAAAAGACATGTACTTATTCATACATATTTCAAAGATTTAGGAAATACTACTTTTGCAAGCTATTTTAGTATTCTGTTTCTTCTTTGTATTTTATATGAAAAATCTATTTAGTTTTGTTCCTTTGTTATTTTCCAACAATTTTCTGATGTTGATGTTATTTTAGATTGAACCTATTTCTGATGAAAATGGATTTCAAATGGCTGGAAAATTTTCAGGTTTATTTTTTTTTATTTCCTTTAATAGAGTTTTATTATTTTGATTTTTTTTGTACAGCTTTTATTGCAGTTAAATTTTATTATAAAGCTTTTAAAAATTATAATACATTGAGTTATTTATGATGACATACAAAGTGTTGACAATATCACTTCTTTTTAGTATAAGTTTTAATTGATTACTATATACCGCATCGTAAGGACTAAAAAATGTCTATTTGGAACAAATTTAGCTTAGAACAAAATTTGAAAATTTGTCAAAATTTAACCCACTATAAGTCAGAGAGTACTTAAACGATCATGCTGAAAAATTGTTTCTGAACTACTACCCATTACGACTACCCTTGGTGCCAATTTTATTCCGATCTGAAGACATCGTTTTCAATGAAATCCCCCTATATCAATTAATCAAGTGCAAAATTCTATTAAATTTAAAAAGGTAAACTAGCTCACCTTACGTATGAGTAACAAAAATTCACTTTAAAATATTAGTCCAAAAAATTTAAACAGTAATTATTGTTTATATCCCCTTTTATTTTAAATGTAATTCATCTGAATTTTCGCTGTTTGCTTTCAATGTAAATTGACGTAATAAATTTAAATTTTTTACATTAATTCCAGTACTTGTGCCTATGAAAGTCCTGATACTTATATTGTTGCCTTTACACTGCTCTTGCTCATAATTACATTAGTTGTGTAAATAATGTGCTTTTTTACAGGTCCTTCTCCGTGCCCTAACCAACCATTAATAATAATGACAGCAACAATAAGAACAAAAGTAAACAAACAAATATTAGCAGTTTTGAAATCTCGCTACTCAGTTTATTTAATCCTCAGGAAGTGTTTTCAGTAAAAAAGAAAAATTTTATAAAAACACAAAATCAAAATGCAAACAAAAAAGGCCTAAACTGGCACGTTTTTAGTATTTTGAATTGATTTTTTATACAATACAATGACCTTAAAGAAAGCAGTACATACATATATACGTATTAATAGTATACGCTTTTTAACCGTAAATATTTTTGTGATACGAAAAAGGTATGTACGTGTAAAGTAATTCAAACGTGATACTGAAATACTTAAATTTTCGGAATTTTTTTTATGAAAAGTTTATATAATCGAAGATATATAAGATGTTTCACAATGTTCCAAGATGGAAGATAAATAACTTCGTATAGGGTGGTAATGAATTTTAAACAATCACGTAGAAACTAATAATGTTTTTATAATTAAAGCAAATATTTGTAAATCTAGGAGCGACCGGCTCATTGGAGTATTACGAATTTTATAAATCTTTAACATTAAAATGTAATATGAAAAATATTAATACATTGTTTTTGAAGGAAGTTTCCTTTAGGGAGAATTAAAAAAGGTAAAACACATATAAATGTTTATAGGCCGGTGCTGGTCAATAATTTTGTATGCCAATGTACGGAACAAAGTGAAGAATATGATTCTGGTTATTTTTTCTTCTTTGACACGGAAGGCTAAGATCACATATAAAGATTGTGTTTTGCTAAACAGGAGCAAGAAAAATTCTTAGGAGCTGCTCAAGCAGCAATTTCAAAATAATTATGATAGACAGAATCTAAAATCAGGATTGAAATGAAGATGATTTCGCATGTCGGAAATGGTAATTAAGCAATTTAAAAGATAATCAGTTTTGCACCAAATCAATATTTGAGTTGAAATATGAATTCATCACGATAACTCCTATCACAGCAAACCTATACTAAATGCAATTTATTCCTTTGCAGTGGCCAGGCATAAAAGCGTAATATTATATCATAAAAATACTCGGCAACATGTTGAAATGTCCGCTAAAAGTTATTTTTTCTACTTTATAATCCAAACCTTGGCCTGTTCAACTGCAATTTGTTTCAGTCGATGAAGAGCGCACAGTCGGGTATACACTTCACTTCAAAGTATGAGTAGGTCTATTGACGCGGAA